CTCTCTCTCTCTCTCTCTCTCTCTCTCTCTCTCTCTCTCTCTCTCTCTCTCTCTCTCCATCTGTTCCTCTGCTCTATTCCACCACCACCACCCCCCATAAAAAAAAAACTCTCGTCTGTATCTTCCCAGTCCCTTCTCTATCTCCTTTCTCTACGGATTCCTTTTGTCCCCATTATTTCTTCATCATACTTATCTCTTTTGTATATCTCAATTTTTTTAGACTACTTTTAGATATATGATTTTTTTAGTATACAGTTCTCAACAATCTATGGTTTCTTTATATGTACTCAGCAACCAGTCTGTGGGCTGCTAAAACCCCCATCTCGTGGGCTGTGTAATCACATCTATACTTTAATATTGATTGCTTGTTGAACTCTGTGAATCACATGAACAAAAACAACAACAACAACAACTTGGCACTTATTCCATGATTTGCGAGTTCAGTGGAAGAGTCCATAATTGGTTTAACATATAGGTTTTACATGTGTAAAAGCAAAATTGAGTCATCCTCAATGGCTATATCATCAAACCAATTGTGCTCATTGTTATTAGTAAGAACAAAATTAACGCTCGTTACCCCGAAAGTTATGCCAATAACTAAGTATTAACCTATGCCTATGTTTTGTCAATTCTAGGATGAGCGAGCCCAAATTTTGAGGGGCTTGGAAAGAGTTCTAGACTGGCACACATTCTTATTGAAGTTATGCTCATATGTTCAAATATTCCAGGTTGGGTCAGGGGTACCTATGCTTATGATAGTTTTGCTCAGTTAATGGGAAAGAAACATCTTTGGGTTCTCTTTCCGTACAGTCAATTGTACATGTGCAATGTGCAATTCCAAGGGTCTCTTGTTGTACAACCCCATAAGATATATGCTCTCAGAACAGCGATAACAATTACCTACGCATACATATCCTCTCAAAATATGTCTAAGGACAGATGAAATTACTGCAAATTAGACAATATGAAGTTCACCTGTACAAAGAAACAACTGTGGCAATAAGTACACAACATAAAGATCAAGGAGAATTCAGTTCATCCTTCAGGTACTCTCTGGCATGAGTATGCAGATAATCATTCTTGATTAAGTGATTTAAAACCAACATTTATGGTAATACATGTATTCAGCTATGCTTGCCATGTTGTCAACCCAATCAAAAAGAGCAAAGTACATTGTCAGTGTTCTTACATGAGTTTCAAGGTTATGTAGCTCACAGAAAATGTTATAAATGTCAGGAAATTTGAACTCACAGACTTTGTATATCACATAATGTTTTCTTTCTTGAGGGTATCATGTATTTTACAAAGTTGGGTTTCTCTAATGATCCACCATTCTCAATATCTGGCGGTTTCCCAGCTTTGATGCTAACTCTTGCACTCTAACCATGCCTGTGCTTGATAATAGAACTCATATAAAGATTTATACTAAAAAGGATTCCTTATAGAACACTATGCGAATTCTAATCATTCCCATCCATAGGCATGTTCATTTGAGACTACAGAAGAAAACTAGTAACTTCTCATATGCTTTCTTCCATTACTTCTCTTTGTTATCAATATTCATATCACATGTTTGTTACTCCAGTCAGGATCAGGAACAGATGTGGTTGATCCACCAGTTTCCATGATTCTTTTGCTGCCTCTTTGTTCTCCAAATGATCACTAGAGAACTTTAGAGACCCTTAAGAAATGAGTCAGATGAAGCATTATAATTTGGAACTTATTCATTGATGCATAATAACTGGAAACGCTATATGTTAATAAATTAGCATGAGTAGGTAGGTTATAGATACACTACATAATTGTTACATTTTGACATGCTTGACATTTTTTTTTCTTTTTTCTTTTTTTTATAGTCATCCAATTATTAAAGCTTCATATTTAGCATCTTTTCTGAATGGGCATCTTCAGATGACAAATAACCTCTATGTGATGAACTGGAACAGATATCAATGATTTGATCATTTCTCCATTTCCTAGATTATTGTGTATTCACCTTATTCCCCAATTATATTGTAATTTAAGGATCAAAAAAAGAGCTCTGCAATTTAAAGATTTTTATTTCATATGAAAAAGTAGGCCCCGCAGTGATGCTCATAAGCATTGGTTTTCATCAGAATAAAGCACTATTACAACGCATTTATTCATTAAAGCCTCCATACATCAAACAATATTTAAGTGCAGACAAAAACAACAGACTTCATTTAAGGGACCACAACATTTTCGCCAACATGCAAACAACACTGCCCAGCACAGTTATGTTGTGCAGTGAAGGAACAAGACTCGTAGCTTTCCAACTTACATGTGCCAACAAGCAAATTCAGGAACCACACGGTCAGAGAAGGCTATAAACGCAAAGATGAGTAGTCTTGACTCCTAAAGAGACATGCAGAATTCACAGTCAGAGGTCCTGTTCTTGTCATAGTTAGGCCAAACCCAATCACCAAGAGCTTCTCATAACAGGGAATAAAGATTGGCTCAATCCAAAGAAGCCATTTTGGCTAATTAGTAATTAGCACTGCTAAAACCAAACGACAGAGATATATATAGAGAAGAATCAATGATAAATTGAAAAGAATGTCACAAAGGGAATCAAGCTGCAAAAATCTGCAGCTATGCAAGTTTCGGACAAAGTGTTAAAGAATACTCATGCTATTGTTTCAAGTGCAAGTAAATCAACTCATTCTCATTGGGAATTTACTTGAGAACAAAACCACTAAAGAGATTTACACAGCAAAAAACAAAAGGGATTGAGAAGATATCATGACGCAAATGATGCTGCAAATACTAATCAAGTCCGGCACACTGTGTGACTCACTCCTTGGTAGTCTGTGAACAAGAACAAAGAAAACCCATTTCTTTTCTCAACCAGTACAACCACTGATTAAGAATTAAAAGGAGTAAGGAGATTTTCTTTGTCCTAGAGTTTCCCCATCACTAAAGATTTCGTGGCAACCGAGAAACTATCCATCGATTTCATGACAACACAGGGGGGAAGAGAGAAAGTGCTTTGAACTCTAGAGAGAGAAACCTGCATTGAGGAGAATATCAAAAGCTTCTTGGTGGGCAGCTTCCATGGAAAAATCACCAGCAGAGAGCCCGGAGGGCGTAAGAGCATTCCATGGTGCCCCAGCTTCGAGCAAGACACTGAGACATTGGGCGTGGCCATGTTTAGCAGCGTGCATCAATGGGGCCAGGCCCATTGAGTCGAAATATGAAGGGTCGGCGCCCTCACTGATGAGAGACAGGAGCTTTTCGCAGTCGCCGTCTCTAGCAGCCGCACACAGATTTTCACCTAGCTCCATCTCCCTCCTCACTCTCCCTCTTCCTCACGCTCGACAGTGCATTTTTCAGTTTTCATAGAGGTTGGAACCCAAGATTTAATAGTTATCTCCATTGTTAACCACTACGGTTTACTGTGGGTGGTATTATTTTTTATTATTATTATTTTTAGAAAGGTTTAACTAGATTTCATCGAGGAAATGAAAGCTTTAGGCCAATTTTGGATGTCAAAAAATAATAATATTCACATCAAAAAAATATATAATTTTTTTTCTCCTCAATTGATAAACTTTATTGTTTTATTTTATTATATTGGTAGGCTGTTTGGATGTCTATTAAAATATGAGAAGAAAATTTTATTTGCCAGATATGTATGTTCAGATGCGTTGCAATAAATTCTAAATTCGTACAAGACAGAGAGAATGAGAAGAACTCTGACAAAAATTCAGAAAGCAAGAGCAGGGAGAAGTTCAATATTATTATTAGAGAGAGTAACTTGATAGATGGACAAAATAAAAACCCTGAGAAGACCCAAAAAGCAGAAGCAAAGAGAAGTTCAATATTATTATTAGATAGAGAGTAACTTGATGGATGTGTAAAAGAGGTGAGACATCCTTTACAAACCTTCCTCTATAAATGTTTTGAGGTTGTAAAACATGTCCCTATGTATACTCAAAAAACCCCTTTATTAAATTTAGATGGAGAAACTCTATGTTACAAAGATAAACTCCACTAAGAATCACAGTTCCTAGAGATATCGAGCAAAATAGATAGAGAAACTCTATGTTACATAGAAAAACTCCACTAAGAATCACAGTTCCTAAAGATATTGAGCAAAACTCTAAATTTCTAGAAAGAGTTTTTCCACTAAGAATCACAGTTCCTAGAGATATCGAGCAAAATAGATAGAGAAACTCTATATTACAGAGAAAAACTCTACTAAGAATCACAGTTCCTAGAGATATCGAGCAAAACTCTGAATTTCTAGAGAGAGTAATAGAAGGCAATCTAGGAGTACAAGACCTCTCCAGCAACCCATTGAAATATTAGGGATAGCTCTATGAAATTAGGGGCGCAACTTTCTAGGGAGAGAAAGATGGAAATGTTCATTTTTTTAAAGAGAGAAAAAGTTGAACTAGTATCGGGAGATAGATATGCATAGTTAAATATGAGAGAAGGAAATAACTGTAAGACCTGAAAAGAGTTGTGAGACCTGCTTGAGAGTGGGAGAGAGGCTTTTGTAAGTGCTACTCAGAGCGAAGAAGGAAGCGAAAAAACGATCTGCATAGTTGTAAATGAGAAAAGGAGAGAGCAGTGAGACCTACTTGAGACTTGAGACTTGAGAATGGGAGAGAGGCTTTTGTAAGATGAGAAAAGTAGAGAGCTGTGAGACCTGCTTAAGACTTGAGAATGGGAGAGAGGCTTTTGTAAGTGTGACTCAGAGAGAGAAGGTTTGGGGGAAACGCACGAAGAGGGAAGCAAATAAAATTTGAGTCTAACTCAAATTCTCAAATTTTTTTAGCTCACCTTTTTGGGCAAATTTGACTTAGCGTCATAATCTGTTTTGTTGGGAATTAAAATATAATAGGTTATCCAAACGGTTTTTAGTTGCTATCTCAATCTTTTTTTCTTATCATTTGAAAATATTACAATTTTGGGTACATCTAAACTGGCCCTTAATTTCAATGAAAGCATAGAAAGAAAATTCAAACAAGGATCCTCGTGACACTGAGAACCCCAATAGGCAGGGAACATCATGCCATCATTCATCCTTCTGTTGCTTCCTTTGTAAGGACATCTTGTTTCACTCCTTGTTGATATGGTTGAAGAATACATCATGTCCTTGTAACCCATGAAGAATTTCATCTGTCCTAGCCGCCCAGTGTTTGATCCGAGAATTTTCACTAATTTATAACATTGGCTGAATCTCCCTCCACAATTACCATAGGATGATGGGGGGCACGGTCTAATAATATCGAACTTTAATGCCTAGAGTTCCGCCTCATTAATACCACAAGGGTGTAATCGCCCTGATAGGACCAAATTGTAACTCCCTTAGATCCCTTAACAGGCTTATGTACCATATCTAGTTCAGTCTATAGTTCCTAACCTACCAATGCCTTCGTGGCTCAGGTTGAGGCCCTTAGACTAATATCTCATATAAGTATTAGGCTTCCAACCTATGGCCGATGCCTTCATGGCTCAAGCTGAGGTTCGATCCTTAGACTCAGAAGAAGAAAAAAAAAAGTACGCAGAACAAAATATGATAGAAGATGAAAAAAGGGATGAAATAAGAAAGTACGTAGAAAATGAAAGAAATGGGCACTTATTGTTTTTGCGAGCTCCTACCGAAAAGTTGGAATATGGTTGCAAGGGTTCGAAAATACCCAAATTCGTACACTTTGTTTGCGGAAATTGAAGAAACCAATGGTCTTCTAAGTTTGGGATTGCTGGATGTTGATTATGAAGGCCGAAAAAATGGCTGGAGTATGCAGGAAAAGAAGGGGATGATGGCTGAAAGATCTCTGAAACATATATATGAGTAGACATAAAGGCTTGCTATGATTTATCGGAGATTGCAAAAATTGTCTGGTGATGGTAAAGGTCGTTGGAATATAGCAGAGAATAACCGGAGATGTAGGGAACCCAAGGGTTTTCTGGTGAGAGTTGAGATGAGAATGAGGAAGAGGAAGGAGGTTTTAAAAGGAGCGTGACCTTTAGGTGTCGCCTTAGCTTGGTACTCACACATATAGGTGGCGGGATGATGATGACTAGAGTGTGTTGTACCTTAATGCCCTCTCCTGAAAGGCAAAAGATGCATTTAGCCTAGTGCTTTTACCTGGTTACCCCTGATATTCCTTGTAAAGATGAGGATGTCAATTTTTGTTTTGAAATTGAGCCTATCTTGTGACTAAACAAATGGAGGATGATAATCTTAACCGACGGTGTCTATCCAATAATGCAAAAATGATGCAGAATGCATAAATCAAAATGAGGCGCAAAATGCAAAATTGACGATATTGTATTTTGAGCAAATAAGGGAGCTTTATTAATCAAAGTTCTAGGACTAAGCCCTTACATTGTTAAAAAAAAAAAGACGAAAAAAAGAGAAAAAGATAGCTCTACTACTCTGCTAGCCTTAATACTGGGTATCACTCCCCGAAGTGAATCAACTTGGCAACCGTTGCCAATTTCCTCTTAATTGAGGCCTGGGTCTCCTAAGTGTTCAACCTCTCCTCGAGAGAAGTTAGGCATGTTTTGATGGTACTCCACCTCTCGACGGAGCCGAGTCACCAGTTTCCAAAGATGAACAATCTCCTGGGACTTGGGGTCTTTCATCAGATCTGCTTCTACGACTGCTTTAAGAATCTCTTCTTCAGCCTAAGAAGAAGAAGTAATGCCCACAACCCTAAAGGTTGCAAGGCTCTTTCAGCTACTTTCCCCTTGGGTAGCAGCTGGAGGAAAAATATCGATGGCATGTTCCTCACTACCTATGATTGCCGCAGTGAGTTGAGGATTAAGCCAGATCTCCAAGTGATTGGGGAAGTTTGGAGATGCCATCGTTAAGGGTGTGAGACTGAGATGTGGCTCCCCTTTCCCATTGAATTTATAGATCTCCTGTGAAGAACCCAAAGAGTTTATCCCTCAGGAACATGAAGTAGTAATATCGGACGTGTTGGGAATTGGAGGCTTAACGGTATAAATATGAGGATTCCCGAGATGAGGGGAATGTTCGAAAGAGTTTTAAGGCGTGCATGCATGCATGATCTAATGTCAGCAAGGTCACCCAAATCACTGGCTGTTATGCACTTTTGGGATTCTCCCACGCACACAATGCCCGGGTCAATTTTGTTGGGTGTAATTTTTAGTCATATGCAAGACTAGGCACATTCTAACGAACCCCTAATGAGAGAATAAGATGGTCATGACTAAAATGATATCTTTAACAGTTATGAGTAGCGGCTTTAATGCAAGCTCAATAAGGATATACAAACTCGATGAGTAGACCCCTTGAAGATTTGATTTGAAAGGGTGGATATATCTCTTGGTCACATAAGACTAAGTGTGTTCTAACAAATGCTCGATAGATTGAAGATATTAAGATACAACAAAGCCTATGACACTTATTGGATAATTATCTTAACATACAATCGATAAGATGCGAGTATGGTTCTTGATAATACCTACTCAGCTATGCCCCAAATGATTATGATATAATAATGGTTCATCATATGAAGGCCTCAATGTGCCTTTGAAATAATGACCCGTTAGTTAGTCCCTGGATGTTCTAACTTGCGACTGATAAAGATATGATGCCATTAGCTCGTCACCTGAGCATGTTCAAGGTTGACTTAAGAATTGAAGCCATCTCATTTTGGGACAAGTTCTATGATACATACAATCCTAAGGCCTGATATGCTTGTCCATGTAATATATTGAGGAACTAGATACGGTTTAATTTTTCGGCATCCGTCGTTAGTTACACATGAGTGTGATAACTAACGAGTAATGATAAAGAGTCATAAGAACGTTTCTATTTGAGACGGAACTCTGAAATGCGTATATTTCATGGCACATGAATGCCTCTCCACTGGATATTGGAGGAGGTTTGAGTGAGATATGATATGACTCTTTTGACCTGTCGATTAGGAATACAGGGTTCTAACAGACAGAGTATAAGGGAAACATCGTCATATGTCGATGTATTGAGGTAAATCTTATGCCTTAAAATCCAGGAGTGATATAACTTGTGCAATGTTTTTACTTGGCTTAATCCATGTCTGTATTCACCATCAGTTAAGATATGTCTAGACTGACGCTCTAGAACTTTACACTCTTAAGGATTCATATTTGACGCATTATAGCCATCACCTTGAAGTTTCATATTAATCGGAGGTGGCTTCACCCATCATCTGCATTGCCCGACGGTTAAAGCCTTCAAAGCCTTATACCACGTGCGTTACAGTCAAGATGATACCTGGTCGCCAAAATTGGTATTTCTCTCTCGATATGAGGAATTTTCTAGTGGAACTGGGACCATAGGATTCTTGACTCGCTGCACTATCAGCTTT